TACCAGCATATTCACTCATCTGCATTGATTTTCTTACTGTTGTGTCACATTAATTAACATGAGTATGGATGGGCTAAATAATAGCAGTTAAAGTGAAACCAGGTCCAGATGTGCCTAATTAGTCCCGAGTTGCAACTATAATTGTATAATTTAAATATAATTTGTAGTTAGGAACTTAGGAAAGTAGAATGCTTCCTTTCATCTGACAATTTGCAGATTGCCACTAAATAGTGTAGTCAGTATTTATTAATTTATTCTTTTAGCCCAATTATGTCGAAAAAAGAAAGGGGGCACAGGGACGCAAAAGACGTGCACAATTTGCAGTTTCGAAGGTGGAGTCAAGCAAACTGATGAGAGCTTTCCTTGCTGGAAGTGATGACACCAGTAAGCCAGCACCTGTTTTTTTTTAAGGCAGCAAAGAGGTCAAAGTGCAAGACTGTGAATATGCTATTTCATTTTAAAAAGAAGACAATGGAGAAACTGTTCTCTGTCCTGTTGAAAGCTACAATAATAATAAACAAGAGGATTCCACTTTGTCAGAAACAAATCCACAGAATAGTGTTCCTAAGCTAAAAGAGGATGACCTAATAAATGTTTTAACACACAGGGATATTGGGTTTATGACATTTGATGCAACAGGCTCAACAGTTCTAACACATGGACATCGCACAGAGATTGTTAAAGTTGGAACGCATGAATTTCACCATAAAGAAGGTCCATTTGATGCCAAAGATGGGCGTTCTATGACTGCATTTTGTTTCAAGCGACGTCTTCTGAATGGACAAGAGGTCAATCATTCCAGGTTGATGTATTCACCTCTACCTAAAGCAGCATACTGCTTTTGTTGTCTTCTTTTTTCATCTACATGTATGACATCCGATAGTCGACCTGCTTTCAAAACACAGGGTGGATTCTCTAAGTAGAAAAAAATTGAAAAGTTAATTGCTCATGAAAATAGTGACAGTCACCGTAAGTCATTTGCTTCTTGGAAAGAAATTGAACGTCGAATTCGTCTTCAAAATGGCATTGATGAAGAGCTGCAAAGGCAAATTCAACAAGAAAAAAAATAAATGGAGAGATGTACTGCGATGGTTGCTAGATTGTACTCAATATTTAACTTCTCAGAATCTTACATTTCGTGGTCATACTGAGGACATAACTTCAAACGAAAACCCTGAAAATTTTCTGTCACTTTTGCAGTTATTAGCAAAGTATGATCCAATAATGAGGGAGCATTTAGAGCGTGTTAAAAACAAGCAAACGTCAACATCTTATCTTTCTCCTGAAATCCAAAATGAGTTTATAAATCTCATGGCTTCACATGTGCGAAATTATTGTTTGTTATCAGTTCGTAGAAACAAATACTATGGTATTATGTTTGATTTCACACCTGATTTAGCCCATCGTGAGCAATTGACCCAAATGATTCGGTTTGTTAACATTGACCTTAAAACAAGAAAAGTAGAAG